GAAAGGACATAAGAATTATGTTTTAGAAAGTTTATTTTGATGGCAAGATTGAAGGCAAAGAGACCAGTGAGCAGGTCTGTTACTGCTAACTAGAGAGGCTGGTGTCCTCTCTAGTAAGAGCCCTAGCCATGGAGATAGAAGTGGTCAGGTTTGAGAGATACTTAAAAAGTATTTCCTTTAACCAGAAGTTAAAGACTTATTAAACCGAGATTAACCCTTTGGGCAAGAATACTTCAGAAGTGATGTTGTATATGTCATATTGTGTTATAACAGCAACAATGTCAAATTAGCCCACTATTTGTGATGCAAGTTTGACACTTGGTTAAGGTGGTAACCTCTGAAGATCCATTTTAAAAGTAAGCTTTGCCTTTGTATTATTAGCCAGTAATCTGTAGGGTGATACTTTGGGACTGTTTATTTAATGGTTTTAGCATTTTATATTTTTATTTCCTCCACTTTCATGTTCATAACAACCATGTTTCTTGTTTATCCTTCTAGTGGGTTAAGTAGATATAGTCAATCTTCATTATTTGTGCATTCTATATTTGAGAATTTACCTAGTCACTAAAGTTTATTTGTAATTCTCAAATCAATATTGGGGGCTTTCAGTTATTTGCGAACATTTGCAGAACAGTGTAAAATTTGAGTTGAAATCACACATGTTCCCAGGTAGGTTTGAAAAAGATGACATTCCGCTTTCTTGTTTCTTCTCTCATACTATAAACAAGTGTCTTTTTTTTTAGGTACATTTAGTGCCACATTTTCCACATTTTATGATTTCTGTTGGTGATTTTGCTGTTTAATATGGCCTCTAAGCATAGTGCTGCAGCGCTGTCTGGTGTTCCCAGGCACAGGAAGGCTGTGATGTGCCTTATGGAGAAACATCATGTGTTAAATAAACTTCCTTCGGGCATGAATTATATATAGTGCTGTTGGCCCTGAGTTCAATGTTAATGAATCAGTGATACGTATTAAAGATATCTTTAAAGAGAAACACAGAAAACAACATTATGTATTGATCAGTTGATGAAAATGTGATGAGAGCTCACAGGAACCTAACCCTGGTTTTCCCCTAAGAGCAATGATTGAGTATTCACTAAATCAGTGTTGGCGAGAACTATATAGAACATAACTACCGTGAATAATGACTGTAAGTTTATTTTTATTTTCTCTCTTAAATTTCAAATTTTCTCTGCAGTTTTGTCTTTAGAATACATTTCACTGAAAATAGAGACGTGTGTTCAAAAATCACTTTTCTCTGTGATGTGTTACCGATTTAAAATAGTTAGGTATGTTGGTTTTGGTATGCTTTCAATTTTAATTTTTTCTTTTGTTTTTTTTTTTTGGATATGTAAAACATGGATTGGACAGTTAAAACTCTAACCAAACCACAAAGAAAGTTCTCACTTCCATCCTAATCCCTTCCTCCCCTTTATGGTCAACCACTTTTTAGTGTCTAGTGTATAATCTTCCAAGTTTTTTAAAATGCAAAAACAAGTATGTGTATTTCCCCTCCTTTAACATACTTCGCTTGTTTTTTTTTTTTTTTTAAGTTAACCATGTACCCTGAAGGTCACCATACATCAGTATTTCGAAGTTGTCCTCATGTTTTATAAGGTTGCAGGTTCACCTATAAACACTCTGTGGTTTTGTTCAACTAATTGGAGCAATCCTTTCGAAGAGTGGAAGATTAGCAGTCCACTTGCTGGAATCAGATTGAGTTCAAATCCTGGCTCCACCAGTTACTGAACGTTTCATTTTGAGCGAGCCATTTACCATCCTTTTGCCTGTTTTCTCGTGTGAAAAATGAGGATGTTCAAAAAGTAGCACACAGCTCGTTCGACTTTATGAGCAATACAGCAATTTATATATTTAAAGGGCTCATGACAGTGCATGGCGCATAGGAACCACCCCCCAACTTTTAAATAAAAGGGGGGGGGGAATGACGGTGATTTTTAGCAGTTTCGAGTTAGTGTCGGGGGAAAGCGAGCGGCGACATAGAGTACTTCCAGGGTCCGTGTAAAGTAGAAAGCATGAGTATACAAGGACCCCAGGCGCGGAGTGAGACTGACCGGAGTCACAGAAGGTCGATGACGGCGATGCGCTTGGGATAAGGGAAACACGTTCCCAGCCAGAAATCAGGGAAGGACGCTCTCTTCCTTCCGTCTCCAGGCAACGAAGGAGTGCACCATGGTCTCCACCTTCAGCCTACCTTGTCCAGGGTTGCAGCCCACCAGGTATCAGGAGCGGCAGGGTTGGACGCGCACCGGAGCAAGGGCGGAGACAGACGGCGAGAGTCCTCGGCCGGGGCGGGGGCGGGGCGTTCCCAGGAAGGGGCGGAGCCGTGGCCGTGGCGCCAAAACGCGATCATGGCGCCGGAGAGGTTACGGCGCCGTGCGCTCTCCGCTTTCAAGCTGCGGGGCTTGCTGCTCCGCGGGTGAGTCGGCCCCAGCAGTTTGCGGGGCGGGAGGGGAGAGTCAAGGCCAGGTTGCTGCGAGGGGTAGCGGGACGCGCCGCACACCGGGAGGGGGTTTGGCCTTAAATGACAGACCCTTTAAAAGCTCTAAGAAGCATAAAGTGTTTTTGGCACGGTGATCTTAGGTTTCCCCTACGTTCGCGCAAAGTTGAAGTTTCTCCCTGGCGGGAAGAGGCTCTCGTCCTGCAGATGCCAAACCGAGCGGAGAAGGGATGGTCTGTGTCGCAGCAATAGTTTATTAGCTCTGTGGCTCGGACAGCTCTCAGCCCGTCAATATCTTTGCCTTCGCAAAATGGGAAGCATAGCGTTACTTGACGTAGTTATTGAGACCTCAAATGAGATACCCGGGAAAGCCCCATGTGCATGTCAATAGCTGTCAATTTATATGTTATAGAAACTGTAGGCCCTTCCAGCTTTCCTAATTTCGGATCAGGTATTATTCTAGAGAGAGTTCCCGGAAAGTTAAAAAGTGAGTAGGTTTGAAGCAAGTTCCTAGATCTCCTTCTGGGTCTTTTTTTTTTTTTTTCACAAAGATTTCCTTTAGAACTTCTCTGATAGGTTTCTTGGCCCTATCTTTGTTTTCTAGGACCTACGGAATGAAGCTTTCCAAGATTTTTCTCATGAAATTTTTTTTTTTTTTTTTAAGGAAGACAGTATTTACATATTTGAATACTTGCCAGATGAAATATGCTTTTGTATACCAGGTTTTGATTACTCATTTTGTGTGTGGCCAGTTTTTTTGTTTTTGTAATGATGAGTTTTATGGGACGTTTAACTTTGCTTTTGGGTTATTGAACAAGGGCAAGAGTGGATATGCTCTGGGAGAAAATAATGAATTTTGTTCAGTTGATCCCTGACATTTTGAAAATATGAGCCATTGATTGATTACTTTTCCTTTCTTTTAACTTAGAATCTGACCTAATATTAACCATTGACTAATTCAGTCAGAAACACACTGAAATCTGTTAGCTGCAAAGCACTGGGCTGGGGCAAGGTTATGAGAGAGTAAGATACTGTGGAGCTTGCTGGGCAAATAGTGTTTTAGTTACTTATTGTTGCAAAACAAACTACCTCAAAACTTAGAGTTTTAAAACAGCACATACTTATCTTCTTACATTTTCTGTGGGTCAGTAGTTCAGGTAGGCTTAGCTGGGTGGTCAGCTTCAGGTCTCTCACAAGGCTGAAGTCAAGATGGGGTCATCTCAAATATCAGTTGGGTAGGATTTGCTTCCATGCTAATTCAGTGGTTGGCAGTATTCAGTTGCAATAGAATTAGTGGACTGAGAGCCTCTGTCCCTACTGGCTATTGGCTAGAGGCCACCCTTCAGTACCTTGCCATTTGGGCCTCCCGGACATGGCAGCTTACTTCATCAAACCTAGCAAGAACGAGTCTGCTAGCAAGATGGAATTCTTTTGTAACCTAATCATGGAAGTGACATCTTGTCACATAAAATTTACTTGTAAAATTACAATACAGTAAAATATTCCATCACTTTTGCTATATTCTATTGTTACAAGCAAGTCACTAGGTTGGGCCCGCACTCAAGAGGATGGATGTGAACACTAGGAGTCATGAATTATTAGGGGCTGTCTTTGAAGTCTGTAAATAATTCACAATTATTTAATTTCTATCGTGAAAAGTATTCAAGGAAATAAGTGCTATAATAGTATTTAAGCAGGTGTATAAATGGCTCTAGCGTCAAGGAAGGGCTTTACTGAAGAAGTGATTTGAGTTGAGTGTTAAAGGAGGAGCAGGACTTGACTAGGTGAAGAGAAGAGTTGGAGGGAAAGACCCTGAGGCAGGAGAGCAGCAGGAAAACCAGAGATACTGGATAAACCTGATGAGATTTGACAGGGCCTATATCTTGTATGGCTTTATGGGCTTTAGTCTATTCTAAAGCTGTCCCAAGATTCACCTAAAGTGTGTGTGAT